TCTCAGAACACATACCCTTTCACTCTTCACTTTTTTTTGGTGACCCTGGGTACGGAAAAAGAAGTGTTTTTATTCTTCTCACATGAAGCATATTCGATGTATATGTAAAAATTTTATAAAGAGAAGTCTGTCCCTTCTCCTGTCCAGAATCAGTGTTCTCTTCTGTTTCCAAGAAAACACTGAATAAAAGGCAGCCTTCCCTCTAGAGGTCCAAATTAGCCATGGTTTGAATTGAATTTAAATTTGCACAGTTTGCACACTGCCTTGTGCCATACATTTGTTTCTGAGTGCATAGAGAGGGGATTTTTTTTCTTCTGCAGTGACCTCAGGTACATGGAGACACACTGCTTGGTTTGCACAGATCACCACTGCACTTGGTCAACTTTTACACACACCAGTTCACATTCCGATGTACAATTCTAGCTGGGAGCTTATGGTTTGCAGCTTAAGGAAGCAACAAGCTCCTGAACAATAAAGGATGTGTTTGCTTGGATTTTTTTTCCCAACATGAAAGGTAGCTTTAATATTTAACCTGGTCAGATCAATCTTCTAGTTCCCAGGTACTTAACACCATGGCACTAATTTTGCCAGAGTGAGCACTAGTCCATACCTGCCAGTAACCTTCTTTCCTGTCTTTAGATAAACAGACAAGCAAGAAAGGTAGGTCAGAGGGATGGTGGAGCCCCCTTTGTGGTTGGAGAAATGGGTTTTTTAGTTCCCATGACAAGGTATTTTGCCTTGTAAGCAGAAAGCAGAAAGACAAAATTCATAAGAAGGGACAAGGCAGTAGTAGTAGGTGGGCCATGCTTAGCTTCAAATATCTTATATTGCTCTGATTCCCCTTCTACGTATTTCAGTGCTGTGATCTTCAAACTGCCATTTCATTTCACGCAGGGAGGTACCCAAGGCAGCAGCGAGTCTGTCTGACTGCAGCAAAGCGACAGTTAATAAGTTGACTCACTTTGGTGTAAAGACTTCTTGTGGATGGGTGGACAGAGGACAGATCAGGGTAATAGCAGATAACTGATCAGCTGTGCTTCTCTCAACCACTTTGTGCTTTTCTCTCAAGAATAAATAAATATCAAAGAGAGCTAATCACAGAATTGCAGAAGAGTCAGGCAGGCCTAGAGCCCTGATGTCAGGCAGAGTGGATACTATGAGCATTCCATGGTGGCAATCACAATAACCTGAGCCATCTTGCTCGGAAAGATCATCTAGTCCATCTTTCCTATTAACGAATCCTTTTTTTTTTTTTTTTTTTTTTTTTTTTTTTTTTTTTTTTTTTTTTTTTTTTTTTTTNAAAGAAAACTGTAAAAATTTTAAAAATCCTCTGCATGTTCTCCAGCTGCAAGGTAGCTGTGCTTTGCCACTGCCCACCAAACCACGCTGCTAAGTAGAGTACAGGCAAGGTAGAGCTGCAGCCTCCCTAAAGGCCAAGAAGATTAAACCTCTTGGGATCAGACCGCAGTCTGGACTATGTCATAGGCAGCTTTTGTGCATCCTAAGGATGGGAATGTGGAATAGAGCCCATTGCAGATACAAGCAGTGCTATCTGTACGGGGCTCCCACCCTCTGCCAGCTTGGGAGAATGAAAAACAGCACCAGGAATCAAATCCAGACCTCCCACATGGTACTGCAGAGAGACCGATTCCTGGTGCCAACCCAGGCAATGTGAGTCCAGTGTGGGAATCCAAGCACAGCTCCACAGCTCTGGCACCAGAAGCGAGCAGCGCCAGAAGCACCTGCCCTCTTCCAAACCAAGCACAAGAAACAGCCCCAGCAAGATGAAATATAAATTAATTCCATCACCTTTTACTGTGTAGGTTAGGGTTTGGGGATCAAGTGCTTGTTCATAGGTTGATAGGTCTTTATACAGGGACAGTTGGTAATCCAAAATGAGGATAATACAAGTCAAAGTGTTAGTTATTGGATGGGAATGGCAGCTTGAGATTTTGCCCCTGTTCTGTATTTTCCATCTTTGTGTGATCTCTTGCACAATGTTCTGGTATGTACAGGTGCAACATCCAACAATCCTGGTATCCTGAGACCCTTGCCCAGAATAGGATGGCTGGGTGCTGCTGCTGACATCTTCCTCTGCTCAGCAATGGCCTCTCTGGCACAGGGATCACAACAGGCACCAGGACTGACACAGGCTGAAGTGGCTGGTGCAGCAGGTGTACCAACAGATCGGAGCCCAGGATCCCTGGAAAGAGGAGCTGTGGCTTTCACCATGCTTCCTTCCTTTTCTCTGCTGAGATCTGCCCCTGTGTAACAATGACTGAGCCAAGAGGAAGCTGAAGCAAATCTCACCATCCCCGAGCTATTTCTTGACTCTGCCCTCAGCCTGTCACATTGTGTCCCAACCCGCTCAGACCTCCACCCAGGACTGGGAGACAAGCTGGTGTGGTGAGGGACCCAAGAAAAGCAAGCTATATGGAGGCAACAAGAACTGCTGCTCTGGGGCGGCGTGGGTGAGCAGCTGAAAATTGCCCACAGCCACACCTCCCCTCCTGCAGAGCACCCTGCACCCACGAACAAACTGCTGCTCTCTACAGAGCTGCAGCTGGGGCACACCAGGTCACCCGAGACAGTAGGGTGCTGTGTCTCTGCTCTGTTCCCCAAGGCCTTGGGGTGTGGGACAGCACCAGCACCCCATGAGCTGGGAATGCTGCATACTCAGGAGGGATCAGCTGCCTCCACACACTGCTTGCAAAGCCTGAGGTAGCTGTGCTTGATGGTGAGGAAAGCAATGGTAGTGGACATCTCCTTTTGCCCATACCGGAGCTTGCAGAGAAGATGAGGAAAAGTCACAGGTAAAGGTAGCAGCCAGAGAGACTGGGCAGTAAAGAGTGAGGATGTGGGCCGGTGCTCCTTAATCTCACGGCTGAGCATCAAAGATTTAGGACCCCTCCCCAAGTCCCTCCTGCCCTGCTCCACCTCTGCATGAGCCTGGCCCAGGTCATGGCAGGGAAGGGCTGTGGCAGGGATGCGGCACCGCTCGGGCCGGGGCCGCGCTGGCGGGGCCGCGCTGGCAGGGCCGGCGGCTGTGGCAGGCAGCGGGCAGAGCTGGGCACCGCTCTCGAGGGGAGCAGGCAGCCTGGCCCCGCTGCCACCCGGGCCAAGCACCCGAGAAAACCTTCCCCTCTGCCGTCCGATGTGCCTGCAAAAGCCGGAGCAGGGACAGAGGGGCAGGGACTCAGCCCACCCTCCCCTTTCCGTGCATCCTCCCCCGGGGTTTGTGCTTTTAGGGGCTCCAGGGCTAAGCGATGGCCGATGAAGGGGGCTACAATCCCCCACCAGTTCAGTGCTGGGGTCCTGGGAAGATCCGGGAGCTGCGAGGCCTGAGAAATTTCTTCGGAAAACGGGGGAAAGGCTCCCACACGCCCTCCTCTCCGCGCAGGTAAACTTTCTACTCCCACTTGCGGCGAGGGAGGGAGAGCTCAGGCAGGGAGGATCCAGGCGCGGGTACCCTGGGAAGCCTTAGATATTTATAGAAGCACAGCCAGAATATGTCAGGAAAGGTGGCTCTCAACCCCTTCACGCGGAACCGCTCCCGGTTTTTAACAATAGGCCCCTCAGAAATGTGGCAGGGAGCTACTGGAAGGATGCAGGCAAAGGAGGCGGTAGGAAAAGCGCGCCCTCGCCTCGGCATGCTCGGGATGCACCAAGGGCTCTGGGTGCCTCGAGCTTGCCCCACCCCGCAGCTGGGCTGGAGGATGATCCCCCTTCTTCTTCCCTCTGCTGTGGGGAGCGCCTCCCGCTCCTCCTGCCGCCCCCCACCCACTGTCAGGCTTCCGGTCTGGGAGAGGGCTCGGGGGGAGCCTGGGCGGGGGGCTGGCGATGCGGGTACGGTGCTGGGGGTCCGCCCCCGGGGGGGGGCAGTGCAGAAGCTCACCCCTGCCCCCTCCTCTCCCGGCGTGGGGGCGAGCAGACCCACGCGTGACGGGCGAAGCGGCGCGGCGGGCACGGGCTGAGGCTTAAAATAACCCCGAGACGTTCAACACCTTGTGCCCGGCGCTCCCGCACCCCCCGGCTCCCTTTGTCTTGCCACCATCTTACGGAAAGACTCACATGTCACGTTACGGTCGGGATGCACCGGTATCTCTCGCGTATCTACAGCCGAGCGGCACGATAGCCATTTTGCATCCCCCCCGATGGGCTGGGGAAGGGGCTGCCGGCGCGGGGACAGGGGGGGCAAGGCGCGGTGGATGGGGAGGGGGAAGGATGGGGCGAGGAGGAGAGGGGCCACGATGCCCGCTGATAGCACCAGGAGGACGGAGATAAATTAAAACACGTGAAGTTGCCTGAATACAGCGCCTCGTAGGTTCAGGCTAAGTCGCTTGACGTGCTTGGACTTAAAATAGCCCTCCACCTCCACGCAAGCAAGCGCACTCGCCCCGGCTCTGGGCGGGCTCCTGCCGCGGTGCCAGGGGCGGCCCCGGCCACTCCCCGGGCCCCGGCCCCCGCGTTAGGCCGCTCACGATCGAGAGGCCGGCGTGGGTTTTCAGTAATGCACCACCCTCCTCGGCAACAAGCGCGTTTCTACGTCCTGTTGTTCCTGACCAGCTCTGCTTTCACATGAAAGCATGGCAAGGAGCCGCTGGACCAGTGAAAAGGAGGAGGCAATTTGCGGGTGGATGGATGAAAATTATTTTTTGTTTTTACCCCATTCCAAAGCCGTGTTCCTCCTCCCGTGTCTCCGCAGACCCCACCTGCCCACCCCTCCAAAAAAAAAAAAAAAAATCACAAGGGACTTTCCCTCAATTCACAGCGTGGTGCCTAAGTCAAACCCTTTAGCCTTCTCTTCATGTCCTATTTGATGAGCCAACAGGGAATCAACATGTCTGGTGAATGCTGGGTTTTTGTTTTTTTTTTCCCTCTGTCTGCTTCTAAAAGCATCATCTCTAAACCTTTTGTTCTACCGTGAGTGATCTTCCCTGGGCAAACCCGCGTACCAAAATGAGCTGCAAGCAAAACCACAGAAACAGGAATTTCCCTACCTTGGTTTGTAGAAGCAGAACCTCTAGACGGACAGATCAAGGGAGAGAGCATGTTGGGAATGTCCAGTCTCCTCTTCTTGCTTGCATATCCACATAAGAAGAATAAGGGTCGGGGGCAAACGTGGGGGAATGAGTTAAAAAACAATCCTATTTGGCTGTAAAAAAAATAGAGGTTTCTTTGTGGCAATCTTGCGTCTTGAAGCGGTGCAAATTCAAAAGCTGGAGAGAATCACTTCAGAGGATATTCAGCGCGAGTGGTGAGGATCGTCAAATGCAGGTTCCAGAGTAAGCATTCCTTTCGCCTTTTTAATAATTATTCTTATAATTATTCTCTCTCTTTTTTTTTTTTTTTTTTTTCCCTGGAGCCCTAGTGGAGGAGGTTGTGTTTAATGCAACTGGAGGTCGGTGCCGTTCTTCTGTGAAGCATGATTATCCTCAAAGCGTCCCCTTCCTGAAGGGAAAAATAAGCATCAATTTTGTATTAGAGGGATCTGAAGGGGATAGAAAACGCTCCCCAACAAAGACATTAATATATTGAGAAGAAAGGAAAGCAAAACGCATTTCCCAATAGTGCACACAAGCGGAATTTAAAAAAAAAAAAATTAAAAAAAAACAGCTGGCACGAGTCTATAAATAATTCAGATACGGGCTGACTACACCATTCCCGGGATAGGCATGCACACGAGACGAGAAAGCGGGCGCGATGTGAATCGCGGAGAGAAAGCGGCTCCCCCCCCCGCGGCCCCCTCCCCATGCACGCACAGCATTTCGCCCACCCCCGGGCCCAGCCCCCGAGGGCTGGCGAGGGCCGTGCCCACCCCTCTGCAGTGCTGCCGGCACCGCTGCCCGCCGCGCTCGGCTCCGCGGGCAGCGCGGGCGCGCCGGGCGCACACACACGCATAGCACCGCCACGGGGGTGTTTTTTTTTGCGCGCCCCCCGCCTCTTTTTTTTTTTTCAACACAGCCCTCGGCTTTTTTTTTTTTGCTTGGGCTCTTTTAATTTTTTTTTTTNTTTTTTTTCTTAGGGGTGGGTGGATGGCTGGGAGTGTCCCCACCACCACCTCCTCCAGCACAGCCGGACAGGGTTTACAGCTATGCAGGCATTTATTTAATGAAGCCGCAGATATTTATTTCTTTCACCCTCCTTTCTGGCTCGGTAAAAGATTCACACTTAGAACTGTCATAAAATCCAGACCCACATACATACCAGCAAATCCTGCTTCAAGCACTCGGGCTGCTCTGAGTAGCTACTGCCCCCCTCTCTGCCTGCAAGGCTGATCCGCCTCAGACATGCTCAACTTCTTCATTCTCTTCTCTGGTACTGCCCGGGTGGGAGATGAGGGGCGGGGAGGTGGAAGTGCTCAGAGCATCACTCTAAAAATACATTTAAAAAAAAAATCTCTGCAATATAAAAGCTCCGAGAATGCTTCCCGGAGGCGGGGAAAGCATGGGAAGGTGAATTAATAAAGCAGCTTAATAATTAATAATAATTAAATATACCCGCGGAAAATGGTGAGGAGGGGGAAATATCAAAGGGCGGGGTGGGGGAAACGGAGGGAGAAAACGAGGAGGAAGGACAGCACGGGCAACGGGAGACCAACCCCTGCCCACTGCCGGAGGGCGCAGCTCCCGGCCTCCGGCGGGGGCGGAGGGGAGCCCGCGCCGGGCGGCACCTGTGCCTCCGGCCGAGCCGGGGCCGGGCCGAGCCGAGCGGGGCCGGGCCGGGCCGAGCCGAGCGGGGCCGGGCCGGGCCGGGCCGAACCGCCGCCGCAGCCCCGCGGGGACCGCCCGGGGCTCCCTGCGTCCCGCGCCCTCTCGGACCGCGACCCGCATCTTTGGAAGCAACCGAGAGTAGGAATGCTTAAAAAAATGCATTAACAATAAGCATAAAATAGTAATAATGAGAAGAAAGGAACGGGCACCCAGCCAGCAGGCAGGCAGCAGAATTGGATCCAAACGAAAAGAAAGCAGTGAGAGCAGAGATAACACTAATATCCAAATTGGATACTCCACAATTAAGCCCGGTGCTTTAATTGCTATTCTCAGAGCCCCTTGGAAGCTAAGAAACGTGAAATCAGCCTGAACAGAAAGGAACTCGTCTTCATCCTCATCCTGCCCTGCCTATGGATGCCTGCACCCTTGCAGCCCATGGTGCTCTCACTGCAGGAGGGCAATCCACTCCGTGGTCACAGATCCATCCCTGTCCCCTTCTGTGTCATGGGTGGCCTGAGTAGAGCCCAGCCATCTACCCAGAGAATGGCTTTAGGGTAAGTGTTGCCCCCTCCCAGGAAAAGCCAAATTGGGTAACAAAGCAAACCCCTTCCAGGAGGAAGTGTCAAGTGCAGCCTTCAGCATTGTGTAGTCACTCTAGGGTTGAAAACACGCATCATGCCAATGTCTGACTCTTGGAAGAAGATTTGTAAGAGCTCAGACAGTCCTTGGTGACACCCTAGAAACAAGAGCACTGAGGAAAGCCCTCCCCATGCTTCCCTGCCAGCTACACTTGTCCTGCAGGAAATCAGACCCCAGGCCAAACATCACATGCTCTGCTTCAGTGATGTCTGCTGCTGCAGATGCAGACTGCATTGTCCAGCCTTTGCATCCCTCTCACTGAAAGCAACCTCCAAGGAACACACAGTTGCGTGGACCTACTTAGCATTCTCTACGTCCAGGAGCCGTGAGGAAGATGCTGCTCAAAAGACAGGCAAGATCCCACTGCCAAAGAATTGTGTTCCAGAGAGCAGATGAGCACTCAACCTTTGTTGCAGGTATGTATTTGCAGGGCAAAACATGCACATGGCCAAGGTTTCTGAGGGAGGAAAGCCTCCTAAAAGAACCACAGGAGCTATGAACTCTCTGTTCACCCCCAGGTCCTTTCTCAGTTTGTACCTCAGAATCAATCCACATGCTCCAAATAGAGTTTGCTGGTCTGTAGGCAAGATTATGGACAACAGTGTGGCTGTAGCACTGTGAATATATATCAATATGCCATCTGGAGCTTGAATGAATATCTGTTTCCATGTGTAGTGTGTGCACAGTGATATTTTTTCATCTGGCTGCAGTGACCACAAGCAATACCAATCTGTGCTTGAGTTCTTTGACAAGAGCAGATACCAATATTTTCATTTTGACAGCCTGGATCTTCCTGAGGGTGCTGGCAAAGGCTGTTCTCCTGTAAGAAAGATTTTCCTAACATTTTTAGGCATGCTTTAAAAAGTGACTATGATATTTTGTATTCTAATTTCAGTTAAAATGGAAGACATATTAGCCAAAGCCTAAAGTAATCTGAAATTATCTCAGAACAGTTGGAGAAAAGAACTGCAGAGTGATACTTACATACAGAAGCTGCTAATAGCTGAAGAGATTAGTCATTTGACTTTGCCATTCCTTTCACTGATAATAGTGATACAGGAATAGTAGATATGATTTGGCCAAGGGATGTTTTTTCCTTTCTGTATGGCAAGAAGGGATAAACTATGACTCTGCAAGTCCTCCTGCATTCTTCTGCATGAAACAAGTGGACAAGGAGCTTGACAAAAAGAGAGGAAGTGGTTTTCATCCAGCATATTACTTAGAAACACAAAATGGAGGGCTAAGAAGTGCTTCTAGGAACAATTTCTGACAAGGGCTGCAATCATGTTAAACAAGTCAGCAATATTTAAGGTTACAATTCTCTGTGATCTTAAGATGAAGGAATTCATTAACTGTTTCTCTTTATAAAACTACACAACTCCACAGTTACATGGTACATTAAAGCCTTGTTTACTTTCAAGGATGAGACTAGTTGCCTTTCTACTTGATAGATATCCATGCACATCTTACATAAACATAATACATATGTATATTTAGAATTCCTTCTTAAATAAATCATAAGGGCTAAGTTCCCTATAGTGATTAGGGGCCTGAGTGTCCAATTTGACAATTTTTTTCAGACAAAATGGGTGTGTTCCCCTTGACCAAAGAAATCAGACTCAATTACAAGTTTGAAATCAGGCACATAAAAATGCCAATTGCTTCAGAATTATCTTCTCAAGATTTTTGCACTGCATCTAACCCCCAAATTATTTTTATATTAAGATGTAATAGTTATTGTAAATAATGTGTGTGGAGGTTGTCTCCAAATAAAAAATGTTGCAAAATCTGCAGCAGCACAGTACTGTGGCAGGGTTTACTCTCACTAGCTGGGGTAGGCTTTTATTTTTTTCTCCAATCAACTAAGATGAATAAACCGCATAAAATGAAACAAATAGCATCTCTGTCAGGAAATGGTTTTTCAAACATCTCTTCAATTCAAAAACACTTAAATGTTATTTGTAAGACAAATTGAGGGATTTATTTTAAACAGGTCCATGTTTACTATAAATTAAGGGCTATATTATTTTTGTCCTGCCTAAGATAAAAGAATGTGAATGAAAGTTCTTATATCAAAAGCAACCAGGGCTGGATGTGGCAATGATGACGTTGGGGAGGATGCAATCCAGCAGAGCCATTCTGTCACAACAGAACAGCCTCTGCTAGCACTGACAGGGACCAAAGGCCCTACAGCAGCTTTGACCCTTAGCAAATGCCCCACTGACTTCATAAAATCAGAACCTATTTCCAGGGCTCTGGATAAATGGGGTCTGTAGCTAAGGGAAAAGACTACCACTTCATAGGTCCTCTGTTCAAACAAAGACATGCTTGCATTAGTAGAAGAAAAGCCATGTCTGTGGAAAACAATTTCTTATAATCAATGAAACGGATCAATTGTTCTGGATAATTCACATCATAAAAAGGTTTTTCATAGTAGGGCTCCTTTGGGTGTTTGCACATGGGCTGCAGAGCATGGTAACCAAGACTCCAGCTGCTTTTATATGGTGCTCTGTGCCCCGCTCTACTCAGCCAGTCTGATTATAAAGTGGCAGAATAGGTCTATGCCCTTCTCCTGGTGTTCAGACACCAGTCCTATGTCAGTTTTGGAAGATCACCATAACATTGGCCATACAGATCCACAAACAAGGATGCCATGTCATGATGCATCAAGCACAGAATGGAAGAAATTTTATTAGCTAATTAAAGGGAAAGCAAATGGAGAAACAAGCATATAAACCTGATAGTAGCACAGCCACCTGGCCTAAGGACTTGGCTAAGTTTTGGCATGAAATCTGTTTTCCTTTCTTTTGCACATGGTTCAGGACTAAGAGATGCTAGAGCAAGATTGAGCCAGAAGCCACTGGGTGGGGAGATCTCATCAGTCTTTTGCAAGGACACCTGGGCACAAGGAGACTGATCACTTTGTTTGCTACTCAGAGGACACTCATCCTGCCAGCAGCCCAACAGAAGGGAATTGTGAACACTGCTGTGGTTGCTTTGAAGTGTTACACATGTTGTCTCAGCTGTCATACCAGGACACTTAGCTGAGCCTTCATATTTTATATTGCAATAGTTGCAGCATCCCCTACTGTCTCTGCCATGGTCAGTCTGCCCCAGAAATCCTAACAACTAGCAGACTGTTTTTTTGTCATGCAGAATCAAAACCAATATGAAGTAGATTAAAGGAGAAATAGCTTTCTTTGTGTCTTTATAGACTTGTTTTATTTTTTTGAGTATGGAATGTCAGGCTTACTGAAATTGGTTTTCCTGGATGGTCATTTATGTATGAAATACAGGCACATTAAACTAAGAAACTGTGGAGATTGTTCTTTCAAATGGAAATGTGTTATTTTTGAACTGCAGAAGTACAGACAGGATTTCAAACTGACATTGTCAATTTTC